GCCATGCATGGTGATGCGTGCCTTTAGTCTCAGGATTTGGGAGGCAGGGGCAGGCAGATCTCTTGAGAGTTTGAAGCCAGCCTGGTCTACACAGCAAGTCCCAGACCTTCCAGGGCTACATAGTGAGAGATTCTTTCTCAAAAAACAAAACAAAAAAATGTGAAAGTTAAAATTTAAGACCTGAATAAATCCATCTTGTTAACCTAATTTATTTAAACACAAAATAACTTTTAAAACTAAGTTTTTCTGTTCTACAAAATTTCAATTATACTGACTATAGCATGAATATTTAAGTAGTTTTGGTCAAGGTGAACAAAATCAACCTGAAAATATGGTCTGCATTAGACACACAACAATACAATGTTTTTTTTTTCACAAACTGTTAGCATTTGCTTGCTAAAACCAGGACTAATTGGCTATAAGGCATACTTTATGCCTTATATCAACTGTAAAGAAAAATTTATTACTACAATACAAACACTTTCCATAGTATAAGAAAAGCATTTCCATAATGTTCAAGAAAAGCTTTTTGTGCATTTATCACATCAAAGATGGGTTTTCCTATGTTGAATCCTCAACATAAGTACGACAATCTAAATACTAAGATAACCAGAATTAAAATAACTAAATTTCGCTAATCTATTGGGTTTTTTTTTAATTTAACTTTAATGGAAGAATAATTATAAAGTTCAAATAGGAAATCATTTCTGTCCCTTAGATTATTTTTTCAACATTTTACAAGGCTTAGCTAACCTCTATTGTATTTTCCCCTTATTTGTATTCAGTAAGCAAAGACTGAAAAGAAAATGTGGAACTGGTTATTACACTTCAATTAAAAGCGAACTACAATGAATATCCTTCACAATTTCTGCCATCCACAATATTTCAGGACTTGCATATAGTTCTGCCTGATTCAACAAAATGGAGAAGAATCCTTGCCTTGTGATCAAGTTGGAAAGACTAAAACATCAGTCTAGCAACGAGGTGACAGGGAACCTTTAAAATTAAATCAGCATGCCTAATTCAGCACAAATATAGCAAGTATCTCAAAGACTTTATGCCTCCAGAGCTGAAGATACTCCATACAAACCTCACCAAACAAATGGATCAGGCTGACTATGACTCCTAAAATCACTAGGAGAGGGAAAATAAAGACAGTTTTGTTGCTATCCGCCTTTCTTGCTAAGAGGCAAGACATAGACCTTACCTGAGTAGACTAGACTAACTGGGGTGTCTACTCTCACCCTACATGAAAATACTCATAAAGGGCCCCCCAGTGAAGGAATGACAGGTAAACTGTTTGGTTGAAAAGAAATCTCATTCTTCTCTAAGTATGTAATGCTCTAAGGTTGGACTTCTCAAGACTCCACAATAATTGACTGTTTTTAAATAAAAATGTGCAAAACAGTGATTCACATATTACACTCCCAACTGGTATCTCATCCAGATTTTTTAAAATTTTTGAGCTCAGGAGATTTAAATACAGCCTCCTTTGCAACGTACTCTTCAACATATTTAGTCTCCACATCTGGAGTTGGACTTTACTCACCCAGAAGCCTGTGTTGGCATAGGTTAAAACAGAAACAAAAATAATGACAAAGAGGATCTCTGAGAGCTGGAGCCATGCTAGATAAGGTGATTGTGCTGGATAGCTTTAGTGTCAACTTGACACACGTGGGTTGAGGGAGCCTCAGTGGGAAATTGCTTCTATAGGACTGGCCTATGGCCATGTCTGAGGGGCATCTTCGTGATGAGTGATGTGGGAGGGCCCAGCCCACTGTGGGTGTTGCCACCCCTGGGCAGGTGGGCCTGAGTTGCATAAGAAAGCAGGCTGAGCAGGGCCCAGGGGAGCAAGTCAATAAGCAGTGTTCCTCCATGGCCTGTGCTCCAGATCCTGCTTCCAGGTTCCTGCCCTGAGTTCCTACCTTGGGCTCCCTGATGAACTGCGACCTGGGAGATATAAGCTGAATAAACCCTTTCCTCCCCAAGTTGGTATTGGTCAGAGTATTTTGTCACAGCAATGAAGAACAAACTAGGACAGTGACAGAAGAGAGACAGCATCCCAAGCTCAGAGCGGAGCACACAGAAAGTACTTACTACAGAGGGAAGCTCTTCACTTTCCATGAATGGGGCTTACTTAGAAAGAACTATCACCCTGATACAGTTTTGAAAAAAGATACATCCTTTGGGAGGCAATGAATCACGATAAAAAATTTTAGGTGAATTCATTTGATTATATCATCATCACTATTCCAAAGAAACAGCCACTGTGGAAATGTTGATAAGACAGCCTTGAATTTCCCAAGAACTTGCCAGAGTGAAATCCTGGGACACTGAAATAAATGGAGCAGCACAAATAGTCTTCAACTTGGACATATTTGAAAAGTGTGAAATGTCTTTCCCTTTTACCACCTAACTGTAGGTTCAGACAATGAACCTAAATTTTCTCTTTTTTCATCCAATGAACTTACTTTGAAATATTATTTATAAGAAGCAAACCAATGGTATTTCCTCTTATAGGTTAGCTATAAGCACAATTTAACTAGAATTTTAAAATTATTTGAAAGAGAACTAGATCTGAAACCCTCAAAAATGATTAGAGGTGGCTTATATATAGCAAGCAATGCATCAATTACTATAATAACCAGAGACATGGCCATATGTCTATCTCTGTGAATGACACATCTGGCTCAGCGGAGGGTGTTACTGTAGGTTTGTGTATCTGCTGACCCAATTTCTCAGAATGCTCATTTCAATCATTTTTGTCTTTAGATTTTCAGATGCAGTATGTATTACACATACAGGTAATCTTGAAATCTTGTGAAGTTTCTGTTTACTTCTTCTACACAGCAAAAAGCTTGCACTGCCTATTTTAACCTTAGATGATGACAGCAATCAGAAAGCAGCACAATTAACTGAAAGGAAGACAACTGCATGAGCTACAGATTTAATATACAATGTTTCTCCTTGTTTCTTGTTTCCACCCTGCCTCTTCCATCTTTTAATTCTTCAAACGCATCTGGGTACACCATGTTCAAGAAAAGCTTTAGTCTGCTAGGCTAACCCAAGTCAGCAAGCATGCCTAGTATATAACAAAAGGTAAGGGTTCTCCAAGCCCAATTTCAAATCCTTTCTGGAATGCTTGCGTCTCTACATCTCAGTTTTATCTACATACCCCAAAGGTCCTAATTTCTAACCTCCCAAACATGCATAAGACAACTAACAAATACTTATAACTCATGTCATGGTAAACAGAGAAAAAGCTTTCATAGAATGACCTCTTTAGGACTTCATACCCCTAGAAAGTGGTATGAAAGTCCAACTATTCAGAGATTACATTTCTTTATCAGAGTCTGGCTTAAAGAAAACTGTCCTGAAGATGAGAGTCCAGATCTTTTCAGTAGAAAAATACTGGTTTATACAATGGTAGAAGGTCAGCTAGCCAATGAAGCTGTAACTACTCCATGAACTCAGCTGCTCCAAAGTAACCAAAAAATAGTTATTTGTGATCTTAATGATAAACACAAAGGAAATAAATAATTTGGGATCAAATCAGTGATGTATGTTCAAACTATTTAACTATTTTATTTTAACTTAATATTTCAGATGTAAAATCCTATTTGTGGTTCCTTGGGGTCTTGGAACTCTTAATACTAAAAAAGAATAATATATAAACGTATATATATATATATATCGTTTTAAAATTCATGTCCTCCAAACTTCTCCCAACTTGGATTCTAAAATGCACAACTTGAACTTTTTCTATTTCTAAATTTATAACTACTAGTTTCGAAACTAGTTTTTCAAACTACTCTGAACATACCTTCAAAAGTCAAAGGGCATCTTTTTCTATTCAAATTTGAAGTGTTAGAATGTATTTAATCAGTTATCAGTTCCCTGAGGTTAATGATTTATAGAGAAACAAAAGTGAAAAAATAATCAATCTTCTGCTGGACTAGTTTCAGCTCCTTTTAGTTCAACATACTGTTGTAAGAGCCGGAAAGGCTGGGTAGGCATCCGTGCATCACTCCTTTCCTGGTGCTCCCGACAGCCTCTGCGGTTTGCAGTACATATGGTAGGCGGTCTAGTCTGATTTACATGGAAAATTCAGCTGCGAAATATTTTTCTGTAACAGCAAACGCAATCAGCCTTTTCTGTTTTCTGTTTCTCCCTTACCCGAGGGTTGGGATATAGAAGCAAAGTGAAACCACTGAGAGGAGTAAAATTAGTTTTTAACTTTAACAAACAAATGACAATTGAAATAAATCCGGTTCCTACTTGCAGAAATGGGGAATCCGGGGTTACTAAACCTGAGCTATAGCAACACTACTAAAATCATGACCCACAACTAAAAGGTCGCATTAATTTTCAAAACCATTCACTTAAAAGTGCAGAACATTCTTTTTAGTGCCTACTTTTTTAAACACAGCAAGAACGTGGGGAACGAATACCAATCCTAGGGAAAATGTGTTCACTTTTGCCCTCATGACTGACCCTGGAGGGTTAAATGTTCACAAAAGAAAGTGACCTAAACCTCAAAGTTTGATTGACAAGGACCAACAGAAGTGCCCATCCGCCTTGGGATCCCGGAAGGTTCCCAGCACAGCCGGTGAACTATTAACCGGGGAAGAAAGAAACCAAACTTTTCCAAACAAGTTAGTTTGGTCTTTAGCCCATCTAAATCCAACAGGTGTCAATACACTTCGCTACACAAGATCTTTCCCAACAAGATCTAGAAAAGCACCCAGCGATTAACGAAGAAACTGAAAGAATCCGACTTCTATCAGGATTGTGAAAGAAATCAAGCCGGGTCCCCAGGCCAGCGAATCGCTTGGGGGTGGGGTAGAGGGATGGAGATCCAGGATCTCTGCGGACGCACAGGACATAAGTCGCCGGAGGGTCTCTGGGTACTGTCCAGGCCCCTGCAACCCCCTGGGACTGGAACTGAAGGGCAGTGCGGTGCCGGGGCTGGGAGCCAGGGGAAGGAAGGCACGCGGTACCTGCTTGTCCAGCGCATCCCGGGCGCCTCCGGGTCCCGCGCCCGCTCTCGGTGGCGCCGGCGTCCGCTCGCAGCTGCAGCCCTCCAGGAGGTACATGCCCGCCGGCCGGCCGCTCTGCTCGCCCTCGAAGTAGAAGAGCACATTCTGGTAGAGAGCGAACCACTTCTCGTGCCAGCGGCTCGCCTCGGCCGCTTTCTTGCTCAGGAAGCCGCGCTTGGTGCCCTCCTTGCGCGCCAGGAAGGCCAGGTACAGGGCGTGCCCCTCGTTGTAGCGCACGCTCTTCTGCATGGCGAGGGCGCGGGGGGCGCTCGGTGGCCGCAATTCAGCCCCGCGGCGTGGTCATAGCACCCAGCGCTGCCCGAGGGCGCGGGACTCCCCGCCGGCCGCTGAGTCCCAGGGACGCCCGGCCCCGGCTGGAGCACCGTCTCCTTCCCGCCCGCGCCCTTCCAGGTCCCCGACGCCGCCCAATCCCCCGACGCCCCGAGTGCAGAGGTCGTCCCAAGGCGCCCGCACTCGCGGCTGCTCGCGGGGTAGTTGCGGGAGCCCAGCCCCGCGGCGCGCGGCAGCGAGGACTGTCCTCGGGCAACGCGCTCCGGGAGACAGAAGGTAAAACGTCACGTGGGAGATCAGCTGTAATCGGCTTGGAGACCGATTTAAAGGGCAAAGTCGGTGCTGCGGCAGCCGCGGAGGCGCAGCCTGCTCTCCCCACAGCGCGTCCCTCCTTCGCCTGCCAGGACCTAGGCCTTCGGGCAGACAGCGAGGAGGGGCAGGCGCGTGGTGGCACTCAGCTGCTCACTCTCATGAGGCGTTCGCAGCACACACAACACGCGCGCGTGCACACACACACAACTATACAGTCACATACACACAAGCAAATGTACACACTAAAGGCACATGTAGAGATGGGTACAATCACACAAATATACACACAAATACAAAATACACAAAAATACACACACAAATACAATAGTCACACACGCACAGTCATCACACGTGTGTGCACTCACAACATACATTTGCAAATACCCATGCACCCAACGCTCACTCTCATATAAACAAGAGTACAAACGAGTACAATCCCAAGTAACACACTCACATGCACACAGATACAGTCACATTTAGAAAACACACCCACAGTATGCTTCTCAAAAATGCAAACCCACAAGTTCATTCTTTCACGGGTAACTACATATAGGCACACACGGAAATAGTGCTACCTCAAACACACTCATATTCACTGCGCACCATGTACATGCACACCTATGATCATACACACATTTACCTTTCAGTCATACACAGATTCACACAAAGAATCATAAACACATACACTACACAAATACATGCATCCCCCTCAAACATACTCATGCACAAGAACCCACAGACATAAAACATACAAATTCATAGTCACCAAAATCTATACAGTCTCACAGGCCATGTGCACTCACTCAGGCTCACAAAGCAGGCTCAGTGGCAGTAGGCAGAGTGAGAAGGTGGCTTTGCATAAACCACAATGTTGATTTGTACCTGCCCTGTAGAGTTTTAAACTGACAGTGAACATTGATGAGAGCAGCCCAGTGTTCCCAGAAAGTCAGCAGATGCATCCATCCCTTTTGGACACCTGCTATTTCACGAAATTGAGATAAAAGGAAATAAATGTTAAGCATGGAGTTTTTAATCAGGAAAGAAAAAAATATATATATGAGGGAGATTTTGCTGGCACCGCAGAAACCATCCCCAGGGGCCAAGCCACCACAGGCTGGACAGAGTCCCTTGCTAAGACTGGAATTTATTTGACTAACAAAATGTACAGCTACTGCTAGAGAACCAAGGCACTCCTCAAACAAAATACAAGTAGAAAAGAAAGGGTGTACCAGCCGCCTCTCGAGAAAGCCTGTGCCATCCTACAGTGTCAGTCTTTGATTCTGCTACACATTTATTTTCACTCCCTATGGTCACATTGAAATGAGTAGCCAAAGGAGTATTGCTGAAAGCAGAAGAACAGAGAATGCCTCCTTTTGGGGTAGTGAATTGGCGGCAATACACCTGTCTTGTCCTTCCAGTTGCACATTGGCAAATTGGTCGCCGCAGGGTTCTGCCTGTTCTGAAAGCCTGTCTTTGCAGAATATTTTAACTATGCCTCACTGAGCAGCTGAGTGGTTTTCGCATCCTACTGTCAAGGAAAACTTCGAATTTAAAAACCTCATAATAGGGAAATTGCCATTTTGAAATGACTGGGAGAACAGTGGCCATCCTCTTTAGGTACTCATATATCTGAAGGGCAGTGCTACACAGATCTGGGTTTAACCACCTGGGAATGTCCACTGTTCTTTAGAGAAAAACAATTAAGATTGTTATGTACAGGATGCTAGAACCCGGAGAGAGTTTTTCCTTTGCTGCTCTGAGAACAGGAAGTGAGGGGATGGATCCCTGTGTCACTGAGGCACTCCAGTTTCAAGCAGAAACCTGGGAGGGTTTGAAGCAGAACAAAAACAACTCTACTAGAAGTATTTGGACCTTCTAAGGCCCTGGAGCTCTCTCAGATGTGAAACAATTATTTTCTTCAATAAGCAAGGTCTCTGCCATCCAGGCTTTTCTCAAGTGTCCCTTCTGTCTACTTACATGTCCTTATCTGAGCCTTAGGAAGTATTCATCTCAACCTCTCTCTGATGTCATTTTCTGATGTCACTGAAGTGCTGTGGACCTCAGCTGCCCAGGGCAGTGAAAGAAAAATCTCTTCTTTCCTCCAAGTTTTGGCCAGTGACTACAGTGTTGTTGTTTTCTCACATTTCTTGTGTGTGTGTGTGTGTGTGTGTGTGTGTGTGTTGCATTGGAGATTGGGGGGGCAGCTGGGGAGCACATGTGTGGTTGGTTGGTCAGTTGTTGGTCCCTCTGTTCACCACTGCATGTGCCAGGCTAGTTGGCCTACACGTTTCCAGAGATCCTCATGTATCTACCTCCCATCTAACCATAGGAGAGCTAGGATAATAGATGCATGCTCCCACATCCAGCTCTTACATGGTTTCTGAAGAGCCAAATCCATGTCATGATTGCATGGCAAGCTGTTTGCCCACTGAGCCATCTCCAGCCTCTATTGTGGGTTTCAGTTATGGAACTTCACTGTGAGACCAGCACTGGCCACAGGTTTATGTCCTCCATACTATTCTGAGGTGATGTGCTATTTATTGTGTGCTCATCTGCAGGAGGAGTTCATGCTTAGGAGCATCTCTCCTGACTGCTTCTCAGCAGCAATACCAGCTCCTTAATGCTCACAGCACCTGCAAGAAGGGCTATGTGCAATATGTACATAATTGATTCATAAATATTTTCTAAATAAATATGGCAATTGGTCATTGACTTGTAAAAGAGAACACCAATATTCATAAAATTTAGATCATGCTGCAAGAATTTAGAGCGAAAAAAACTAGAAATCCATAGGCTATCCAGGCAAGCCACAAGTGTGTGATAGGCCTGCAACCACATGGGGGCTGCATCCCTGAACCATGCCTTCCTGAAAGAGCCAGGTTATGGAAATGAGGGTGCATTTCCAGCAGATCACAATGTTGGCAAAGGGACTCTGCTCCAACTGGTTCAGAATGGGCTCTATTGTGAATTCATTTCTTTTCCCTCCTGCATTTCATGGATTCTTTCTTGAGACGGCCAGTTTAAAGGCATTTTTCTTAGAATCATGAAGTATTTTTCATTGATAATTTTGAAGTCTCTTTGCCCTTTTCTATGTGAATTAGGAGGAAAAAAATAGCAATGAGCTGCCATATTTGGAAACCCTAATTCAGATAACAAAGTCATGATGAAGTAGAAGACTATGGGGAGAAGGAGAGACAGCTAGGGAAGGCAGGACAAAGAGAGGGCAGAAAAAGGGAAGAAATTTTAGATTTGAGCTGTTCAAAGTACTTTGCTTGGGGTGGGAATATCCGACTGAGCTGCAGGGTTCTATGATCTCAGACTCAAGCTTTATCTTTAAGGCATACGAAAAGGTTTTCTCTTTTTTTTAAACCCTTTTCCTAAGTACTGTTTTGTCTATGGAAATTTGAATGGACTGCACAAGTTTCTGCAGTGACCTTTCCCAGTGATTTCTGTCATTCAGTAGTGTCTCAGCACTGGGTCCTGGAGAAGAATTGCATTGTAGGGGTGAAGAGAAATTTCCCTTCATTTCTCTAAAACTTCACTGGAATAAAGTAGCAAAGAAATTAGAGAAAACATATGTTAATTAAATGCACATAGACAATCACATGGTGTGATTATTGAGTCCAAAATTATTCAGAAACTTCTAGAGGAGAAATGGGAACTGCAGACAAACTTGAAGATCCTAAATGATTACTAGTAGAACAAATGACTCCAGAGACAATCATTAGCATTTGAATGAGCCCCAGGGGCAGACAGTATCATATAAGGGAAGTCTGTCCAGAAATGGTGACATTCTCCAGTCTTCTGTTCTCAGGTAGACAAGGAGACTTCAAGGGTAGAGAGGGATCCGTTTGTGTTCCTTTTTGCAGTCTGGTCTTAATGCAGATGAGGGAGTTCCAGAGAGAGCTTCTCCGTGTTTGTGAGGAGAGGAGCAAGGCTAGAACCTTGATTCTGAGCCTGCTCTTAAGGCCTTTTCATTTATTTCAGATCAAATTCTGCACAAGAATGCCATATTCGGGAGAAATCACTCTCTGAGCCCCAGCATTGCCAAGCAAAGTCGAAGCATTACCAAAATCCTTTTCTTGGCCTGACAGAAGATTATTTTGGGAATTGTCATTTTGATGACTTGTAGATATGGAAACTAGTGCAGTCTCACTAAGAATCCAGACAGATGCTACAGGACTCTGGGTTCTCATCTCCTGCCCAGAAGCACTTCTGTAATGTCTCCTGATGCTCAATTAGTAAAGTACTACAGAAAGCTAAAGAGGTTATCCTTCCCTTTTCCCCAGCATTCTTTTGGCCAAACAGGACTCCTTATTTAATGAATGGGGGATGCAAACTACTAGATTGAGTTATATAAAGCTGATAAAATAATTTTCTGAAGTTTTACCTAACTTAATGCTCCCAATTACCAAAGCTTGTCCTTCAAACACTAAAAATAAATGAGTTATGCACGTGTACTGAAAAATGAAGATAAGTTTGCCTTTTCTTGATTATTTAAGGTCACTTTCTAGGAGTCAGATCAAAGGTGCCATTAGCCTCTACTCTTTTATGCAAATTAATATAAAACACACCCTCTCAGAGGATAGATTAAGGAAATGCACCCTTTGGCGCATACAACCTTGAAAACAAGTAAGTAGGTGGCACCTTTATTTGACTAAGAGGCATACCCTCCCCTAGATATATACGGCTCTATGCAGGGAACATTCATTGTGCAGTGACCAGTCTAAGCAAGTGAACAGCCCCATACTATGCACCTCCTTCTAAATGGTCATGGACAATGTACTTTGAATTTTTCTATCAGTTCCACAAACACAAATCTTTCCTGATCTTGTAGAGATACAGAGACTGGACTATATATTTTAAAAGTAAACTTGTGAAACATAACACATGAAAATTTTATGTTATGATAGACACAGAAAGGCATCATAGTTTTCCAATTCTGTAATATTCGATACAGTAGCATTTACGACAGCAAAAAGTTAGAAATACCCCAACTGTTCAGTAATAGAGGTAGGGTGAAATGAGTTATGATGTACAAGGAATCCTGAAGACCCAAGTTAATGCTCATGATATACTGATATGTAGAAACACGTCCTT